CATCGTCGCACAGTCTAACCATGGCTGTCGATAACGCATCTACGCTTGTGCGTTGGGCCTGTGCTTCATACAACTCCTTCTAAGCACCTTGTTTAATGTCTGTGCAAGAATGGATGCCAATGCAACACCATACCACAACGGATTCACCATGTCGCGCAACCCGCAGGCCTGAACGCTACATCGTCGCACAGTCTAACCATGGCTGTCGATAACGCATCTACGCTTGTGCATTGGACCTGTGCTTCATACAACTCCTTCTAAGCACCTTGTTTAATGTCTGTGCAAGAATGGATGCCAATGCAACACCATACCACAACGGATTCACCATGTCGCGCAACCCGCAGGCCTGAATGCTGCATCGTCGCACAGTCTAACCATGGCTGTCAATAACGCATCTACGCTTGTGCGTTGGGCTTGTGCTTCATACTACTCCTTCTAAGCACCTTGTTTAATGTCTGTGCAAGAATGGATGACAATCCATCACCATACCACAACGGATTCACGTTTGTTACTATTGATAATCGTGTTAGAATGTCGTCCGCTGGCCCTAAACCATTGTGGCAAAGCCTAAAAGTGCACAGTACCTCTGTCACAAGTAATAATTCTGGACGGTCGTTGTGTGTGTGACGTAAGAATCACCGATTAACTTACCCCAACCCCGTGGTAAACCATTTGCAACTTAGAGTTTGATGAAATGCATGGTTGTATGTTTGAATAAAATTTAGAGATTTATGCGTTGGCAACCGTGATTGGCCGACGCATCTCAAACGATTCCCCCCGCAACACAATCATCAGCCAAGAGGTACTTCAGCCATTGAGCGGCTAAGATCGAGCGGTAGGTGGGTTTATGCTAGGGTGGCTACACGTACACCGTCCAATATAGCCTGATAGGGTTACATTACTCTCTCTAGTCTCGCAACCCACCCCAACCACCCTCGTGTCCCCCCCACCTGCTTCCGTCACTCCCTAAACCAACACTTTGACGCTGCTCATTCCCTTGACACACTTTAGCGCGAAGCATAGTGGCTACTATGACAGATTTAGTTGAAGCGGCGGTTTTCGAAACCCCTTACAGTGATAGACCGTCGATAATCCCATCGTGGGATTCTGTTGCAGAACCCTTTCGAAACCGGCTCAACCCTTCCGCGGGATTTGCAACTTTGCTCCTCCTACAATTACCATGACACGTGCAACACTTAACCAAGCAATGGCGGAGGAACAGGCCGGCCGCTGCGCGACAAGGAGGACGTCTAAAAAAATCGATACGGAGTGTGGGGGCGGCGCTAAAAAAACTAATGCGTCCGTCGCTCGTGGCATTGGGAAGAAAAAAGCGGCGGCAAAAAAGGTCGCGCGCGGTCAACAGGAGGCCGGCAAGAAAGCGGAAGACAAGGGCCCTAAACCAACGCCACGCAAGTGTGTTTCTACAGTGAACAAAGATGCGGATGTTGCCTCTGCTGGAAACGAGCCCTGTCCGAGTAAAGACGGCACCACTGGCGGCAACGAAGATCCAGGGCGAGGGAGCGCGAGTCTTGCACTCCCGTCGGCGGAGATGGAGGGATCGGCGACGAAGGGAAATCACGGAGGCGATCCCTGTCAGAACATTATAGCTTATGCATTTGTGTAGGCTGTAGTGGGGTAGCCCATAAGGGGTACAACCCAATTAGGGTTAGTACTTGTACCCAACTCTTTCATAGTTCATTCATTCTCGTTTAAGTTTTCTCATGGTATCGAGCAGGTTCCCTCATGGGAACTGTTCTTAAGACCCACCGATTCGATTTTTTTCCTGCCCGGAGCGCGCTCAACCCTTGCCCGAGTCGCGCTCCCCCTTTTCTCACTTTGTCGTGCCGCCCTAGCGGCTGTGCCGCGCCGCCCTTGACGGCCCCGATCCGCCGCCCTAGCGGCCCCATCGCCTACCCTGCGGCCCTTGAGCCACCCTTCCCGGCCCCGATTCGCCGCCCTTTCGGCCCCGTCGCCTACCCCGCGGCCCTCGAGCCGCCCTTCCCAACCCGGCCCCGCCCTTGCTGGCCCCGTCGCCTACCTGCGGCACCGACGCCTACCTGCGGCCCCGTCGCCTACCTGCGACCCCGTCGCCTACCTGCGGCCCCGTCGCCTACCTGCGGCCCCGTCGCCTCCTTGCGGCCCCGGCGCTACCCTTCCCGGCCCCGACGCCGCCCTTCGCAACCCGGCCCCGCCTCAGCTGGCCCCGTCGCCTAGCCCTGCGGCCCCGTCGCTGCCCTTCCCGGCTCAGGCGCCGCCCTTTCTCGGCCCCGACGCCGCCCTTCCCGACCCGGCCCAATCTCTGCTGGCCCCGTCGCCTACCCTACGGCCCCGGCGCCGCCCCTTCCCGGCCGCGGCCCAGCCCCTGCTGGCCCCGACGCACGCTCTTCCTGGCCCCGACCTCGCCTTCACGCGGCCCTGCCGAGCTGCTGCCGAGCCGCCAGCGCCACCCGAGCCGCCCGAGCCACAGCGCCACCTGAGCCGCCCGAGCCGCCTGAGCCGCCCGAGCCGCCCGAGCCGCCGTCCCGCCGAGCCGCCCAAGATGCCCGAGACGCCTGAGCCGCCCAAGCCGCCCGAGCCGCCCGAGCCGCTGAATAGCCAAGCCGCCGAGCTGCAGTTCCTGCCGAGCCGCCGAGCTGCAGTTCCTACCGAGCTGCCGAGCCGCCAAGCCGCCCGAGCCGCCCTGTCCGGTAAGAGCAGCGCCTCTGTCACTGCACTGCCCTTACCCCACTCTTCGCCCTACTAGTCTACTGCTGTCATGGCTACCCCTAGTGTCCTCGCTTTTGACGCTGAGGGTCGGGCCATTGACTTTGATGTCTGGGTAGATGACCTGCAGCTTTTCCTACAGTGCGATAGGGCAGACGGTCTCTCCCTCTTTGACCTCACCTCTGGTGCCTCTCCTGCCCCTGCTACTGATGCTGACGCCACTGTTCGCTCACAGTGGGCCACACGCGATGCTGTTGCACGTCTTGCTGTGCGTCGCCACCTGCCTACCTCTGAGCGTGCGCACTTTAGCCAGTACAAGAGTGCTCAGACCTTGTACGACGCTGTAGTTGCACGCTACTCCTCCCCTGCCACTGCTGCACTGAGCCGCCTCATGCTACCGTACCTCTTCCCTGACCTTGCTGCCTTTCCCACAGTCGCTGATCTCATTACGCACCTCCGCACTAGTGACACTCGCTACCGCGCTGCGCTTCCTGCTGAGTTCTGCGCCAAGAACCCCCCCCCCCCCATGTACATCACTCTCTACTACATAGTCACCCGCCTCCGTGACTCCCTTCGCGTAGTTAGGGACCACTTCCTCTCAGTTTGCCCCACCACCCTCACCGATGACCTCCTCGAGAAGGCCCTCCTAGCAGTGGAGAAGAGCATAGTTGCTGTAGGAGCCTCTCGTGGTGACCCTCGCACCCCCATCTTTGAGGGGTGTCCCCCCTCCCCCTTTTGCCCTCTGTTGCCTCTGCTGCTGCGGCCGACCTCGTTGGGCTTGAGTCAGTCGGTGCGGCGTCTACCCCTAGCGGGAGACGCCGCCCTGGCAAGGGCAAGGAGGGCAGGGGCGCTGCAGGCACTAGCGGGAGCGGTGGAGGCGGCGGTGGAGGCGGCGGAGAGAGTGGGGGTGGCAGTGGGGGTGGTGGCGGGGGTGGAGGTGTCGGTGGCGGCAGTGGAGGCGGATGCGGCGGCGGTGGCGGTAGGAGCGGAGGTGGCGGAGGTGGCGGCGGTGGAGGAGGCGGTGGCGGAGGAGGTGGAGCTGGTCGAGGTGGCGCTGCGCAGAGGGTCCGCTCTGGTGGTGGTCAGCGCCAGCAGCAGCAGCAGCAGCAGCGCACTCGTGACATCCCCCCCCCTCAGCAGCTCCGTGAGTGGTACGCTGCACGCCAGCGGGGTGGGGATACTGGTCCGTGCACCTACGTCTTTTCCTCCTGGCACCCAGTGGAGCCTCCGGCGGCCAGTCTACGGTCTTCGCCAGGCACCACGTGAGTGGCACGACACACTGAGGACTACGCTTGCGGCTCTTGGGTTTGCTCCCTCTACTGCCGACCCGTCGCTGTTTCTACGCACCGACACTTCTTTGCCGCCGTTCTACATCCTCGTGTACGTCGACGACTTGGTCTTTGCCACAGCTGACACTGCTGGACTCGCCCACGTGAAGTCCGAGCTGCAGAAGAGACACACGTGCACAGACCTGGGTGAACTGCGCAGCTACCTTGGCCTGCAGATCACCCGGGACAGAGCACGCCGCACCATTACCCTGACTCAGTCACACATGGTGCAGCAGGTCCTTCAGCGCTTCGGCTTCACGTACTCCTCGCCTCAGGCCACTCCTCTGCCTACTTGCCACTCGCTCTTAGCTCTGCCTTCGGATGAGTCCGTAGAGTCGAGTGGCCCGTACCCAGAGCTTGTTGGCTGCCTCATGTACCTGATGACCTGCACACGACCTGACCTTGCATACCCTCTTAGCATCTTGGCACGCTATGTTGCTCCTGGGAGACACCGACAAGAGCACATGGCTGCAGCGAAGAGGGTGTTGCGCTACTTGTGCAGTACGTCGGGCATGGGGCTTGTGCTTGGAACACAGAGTCCAGTGGTCCTCACTGGGCACGCAGACGCTTCTTGGGCTGACGACCAGGCTACGCAGCGGTCGTCACAGGGTTACACCTTCAGCCTCGGTTCCGGCTCTGTTTCGTGGCGGGCTACCCGCTCGTCTTGTGTTCTCGGCTCCAGTTGTGAGGCTGAGATCTACGCCGGGGCCATGGCTGCACTGGAGCTTCGCTGGCTCACCTACCTGCTGACTGACCTCGGAGAACCGCCTCGTTCTCCTCCAGTGCTGTACGTAGACGACAAGGCCATGCTGGCCTTGTGTCGAGAGCTGAGACTGGAGCACAGAACGAAGCACATTGCTCTTTGCTACTTCCTTGCTCGTGAGCTACAGCAGCGTGGTCAGCTGCGTCTTGCGTACGTGGCCTCTAAGGCCAACACTGCTGATATCTTCACCAAGGCACTTGCGCCTTATGATCATCAGCGCTTCTGTACTCAGCTGAGTCTTGTGCCTGTCTTGCCTCACTTGCTCACCTCTTGACCTTGCTTGTACTGTTACATATATATACGCCTGCTCTTGCTTGTCTAGCCTTTTATATATATATATGTACTCCTGCATGTGAACTGGCCATGAAGACCCCGGTGATGCGGAGGAGGAGGAGGATGAGGAGGAGGATGCGGAGGGAGAGGAGGATGAAGAGGAAGCGGAGGAGGATGACGCGGATGTTGGGGAGGATGAAAAAGATGAGAATGATGGCGGGGAGGACGAAGAGGAGGAGGAGGAGGAGGAGGAGGAGGAGGAGGAGGAGGAGGAGGAGGAGGAGGAGGAGGAGGAGGAGGAGGAGGAGGCAGAGGAGGAGGAGGAGGAGGAGGAGGAGGAGGAGGAGGAGGAGGAGGAGGAGGAGGAGGAGGAGGAGGAGGAGGAGGCAGAGGAGGAGGAGGAGGAGGAGGAGGAGGAGGAGGAGGAGGAGGAGGAGGAGGAGGAGGAGGAGGAGGAGGAGGAGGAGGAGGAGCAGGGTGACGACGAGGAGGAGGATGTGGATGAGGAGGAGGAGGAGGAGGAGGAGGAGGAGGAGGAGGAGGAGGAGGAGGAGGAGGAGGAGGAGGAGGAGGAGGATGTGGCGCCATTGAAGGGACGGGGCGGGCGTGGCAGACGGGTGAGTGGTACAGGGAAGGAGGGGGGGCGGACTTGCCCTTCCGGAAAACGCGGGGCAGTTGACGTTGCGCGCGGCGAAGCATCGGGCAAACCGAAGGCGCGTAAGGTGAAGGTCGAAAGTGAAGGGGTTGGTAAAAAGCAAGGGAGCCAGGGAGCAAAAGGGGATGGAGGAGGAAAGGGTGGCCGCGCCAAAGGGGTTCCAGTGGGTACCAGCAAGAAAGAACCTGCCGGTAAACGTCGCAGCGTCCGCCAAAGCACCCCGCGGAAAGGTGGCAACGAGAAGGCGCAGGCTGCCCCAAAACCGAAGGGACAGCAAAAAGGTGAGCATTGTGTCCAATAAAATTGGCGTGACGTGTTGAACCATCTGCTAAACCGTGCCAAAAAACACCCTTTTTCACATTGTTTCTCCCATGCAGGGAAGGAGAAGGTCGACGAATCTGCCAAGCAAGGTAAACCCTCTTGTCTCAAACCAGTACAACCCTGAACCCGATCTAGATTCAAACCTTTCTGAATATGCATGCATGTCTGGCCCCGCCTTGAAACCGATCGACTCTAATTTTTTTTTTCCGGCTCCCTCTACATCTCAGCCCCTCGCGTTCCAGGCATAGGGCCGCCCGTAAGCGTGCAACGAATGCATCTAACGAAGGCTGCCGCAAGAGCGAGTGTTACACCGCTCTCCTCCAGAGCACCAAGGTACTACACGCCATGGGCCGGCCCGAGCATAGTCGCTGCGACGGCACCAGGCGCGCCAAGAGGAGAGGAATCCGAATCCTCTCCACCCGCCCCCGTCACGCAGTCCCCACTCGCCTCACCCTCGTACCAATTTCGGCAACTCCACGCTTCTCCTGTCCGGGGCAGGGCGGTCTCCCCTCTCGCCGATCCTTCGCGCGGGCATCAGGCAGGCAGTTATGCCAATCCCTTCCCTGAGCTCCCCTTTTCCCACCAGCGTGATAGTGTGAGGGCACACGGGACTGCTGCAGAAGACGTTGATCCCCTTGGCCAGAGGGGGGATTCTTCACACCCTTTTCCTCCGCTCACGGGTGCCCTAGGTGAAAGTGCGGAGCACGAGCATTTTGTTACACGGGAGGAGTTCCAGGCGCTGCGGTCTGAGATGTACGCCATGTTTGCACAGCTCGGCCTGTGTCGTGGAGTACCTGCCAGCTATGCCGGCGGGTCGGCAGCCCTGCCTATGGCTGGTACCCCGCCGCCGATGAGTGCCGTGGACAAGGCACGAGTGCTAGTGTTGCAAGAGACAAACCCATTCCCGGTATGTGGCGAGCCACATGGGGAGGGTTGGGGTTGACGTGGCAACAAGGGCGGGGTTGGGGCTGACGTGGCGGTTTCGAAGGGAACACGGGAGCGGCGCGTGACGAGGCGACGCGTATCAGGTGGGTGGGGGGTGACGTGGCATGGGGTGGGTGGGTGTGACGTGGCAAGTGGCGCGGGTTGTTGGTGGACATGGCGGATGCGGGTTGGGTGTGACGTGGCAAAAGGTGAGGGTTGGGATATGACGTGGCAGTGTGAAAGGGTGCAAGGGAGTGCCGCATGACGGCGCGAGGCGTTTCAGGTGGGTGGGGGGTGACGAGGCTCTTGGTGGGGGGTGTGACGTGGCAAGTAGGGCGGGTTGTTGGCGGATGCTGGGGGGTGTGACGTGGCAGAATGTGGGGGTTGGGGCTGACGTGGCGGTTTGGAATGGTACACGGGAGCGGCGCGTGACGAGGCGACGCGTGTCAGGTGGGTGGGGGGTGACGTGGCATGGGGTGGGAGGGTGTGACGTGGCACGTGGGGCTGGTTGTTGGTGGACGTGGCGGATGCAGGAGGGTGTGACGTGGCACGTGGGGCTGGTTGGTGGACGTGGCGGACAAGGAGGGTGTGACGTGGCACTTGGGGCTGGTTGGTGGACGTGGCGGATGCAGAAGGGTGTGACGTGGCGGAAGGTGAGGGTGGGGGATGACGTGACAGATGCAGATGGGTGTGACGTGGCGGAAGGTGAGGGTTGGGGATGACGTGGCACCCTAAAAGGGTACACGTGAGCGGCGCATGACGAAGCGAGGCGTCTCAGGTGGGTGGGGGGTGACGTGGCTCTTGGTGGGGGGTGTAACATGGCAAGTAGGGCGGGTTGTTGGCGGATGCTGGGGGGTGTGACGTGGCAGAATGTGAGGGTCGGGGCTGACGTGGCGGTTTGGAATGGTACACGGGAGCGGCGCGTGACGAGGCGACGCGTGTCAGGTGGGTGGGGGGTGACGTGGCATGGGGTGGGAGGGTGTGACGTGGCACGTGGGGCTGGTTGTTGGTGGACGTGGCGGATGCAGGAGGGTGTGACGTGGCACGTGGGGCTGGTTGGTGGACGTGGCGGACAAGGAGGGTGTGACGTGGCACTTGGGGCTGGTTGGTGGACGTGGCGGATGCAGGAGGGTGTGATGTGGCGGAAGGTGAGGGTGGGGGATGACATGACAGATGCATATGGGTGTGACGTGGCGGAAGGTGAGGGTTGGGGATGACGTGGCACCCTAAAAGGGTACACGTGAGCGGCGCATGACGGCGCGAGGCGTTTCAGGTGGGTGGGGGGTGACGAGGCTCTTGGTGGGGGGTGTGACGTGGCAAGTAGGGCGGGTTGTTGGCGGATGCAAAAGGGTGTGACGTGGCAGAATGTGAGGGTTGGGGTTGACGTGGCGGTTTGGAATGGTACACGGGAGCGGCGCGTGACGAGGCGACGCGTGTCAGGTGGGTGGGGGGTGACGTGGCATGGGGTGGGAGGGTGTGACGTGGCACGTGGGGCTGGTTGTTGGTGGACGTGGCGGATGCAGGAGGGTGTGACGTGGCACGTGGGGCTGGTTGGTGGACGTGGCGGACAAGGAGGGTGTGACGTGGCGGAACGTGAGGGTTGGGGATGACGTGGCGGATGCAAGTGGGTGTGACGTGGCAGAAGGTGAGGGTTGGGGATGACGTGGCGGTTAGAAATGGTACACGTGACCACTGCGCATGACGAAGCGAGGCGTGTCAGGTGGGTGGGGGGTGACGTGGCTTGTGGTAGTGGGGTGTGACGTGGCAAGTGGGCCGGGTTGTTGGTGGACGTGTCGGATGGCGCAGGGTGTGACGTGGCAATTTCAAACAGTGTTGCTAGTCACCATCCCATGGTCACGCGGCCACCCTCATAACTGCTGGTTTCTCTCTTCCATGTCGTGTTGTATACCTTACACCCCTGCGCAAAACAAAGCCTACTTAGTGTGCTCTCAGCTCATGTTTCTGAACCCGCCTGAGAAAATACAGTACTACCCTGCACCGGAGGAAGTGTTCGAAGCGTTCTTTGTCCACTTGTCTGCAGAAGGGCTCGAGGCAATGAAGCTGCTGTGGTTGCACAATGACAAGTCAACCATGGGAGTCTTCAACCACCAGCTGTCCTCAACAAGGTCAACTATCAACTCCACCCTCAGGCCAGCAGCATACACCGGCATGGGCCTTGCCGATTACAGCCATCTCGTGGATAGCCTGCCCACTGAGCTACACCCAACGACGTGGTTCGACGACAATCAACTCCTAGCCGAGTACAGAGATGGTATGTGCAGTGCAACTCGAAAACACAATATGCCCTACCATATGCCCCTTGGCAGCTACATATCACCGTGCGATGTGGCTCACCCTGACTCTCATCCCCCCATTTGATTTCTCTACAAAACCCTTTCCAACCCGTACCCTCCCTGCCAAAAAGCAGAACAGTGGGCCCTCAACTGGCACTTTGACAAGGCCACCGGGACACCCTTCAGCAACCCCTTGTTCGCTTATGCGTTCAAACTCTCCTTCAAGAGGGGCGGGGCGGTGTTCACCAAGTTCAAGAGCCGCATGGTGGCATGGGGCCTGTTTTCGGTAAGGATGTAGATATATGTTTGTACCCCCATGCCTCATCCCCTTAACCCCTTGCCTGTACTTCAGCTAAAACCCTGGTCGATTAGGCCTTTGCAGCTATGTAGATAGTGACGACTGCATCACCGCTTTCAGTTGCCTCATTTACCCGTAACCTACCCTCCTCATAAACCATCCACCCAACCCTACACCACATTGCAGATCGAATGGCCCCTTCTGCAGGATAAGCGTCGCAAGCGAATCAGTAGCCAGCCGGAGCAGAACAGGCCATACTACCAGGAGTGGTGCGAAAAGGTCAAACAAATGATCCATTTTACTATCGTGGAGCGGAGGATTCCCCACGATCCGGTTATGGGTGCGTTCGTCTTTCCGAACAAGTTCCTCATCGACGACGGCGACCTTGGAGATGTCGTACTTGCCCACCGGGCGCTTTCAAGGCCCGCCAGTGCGTAGGCTATTTGACCTGGTGCTAAGACTGCTTGTTGCTAGAATGCTGAATAATGGTTCTTGTAAACCGCAATAATAAATGCAATTTTGAAATCCTCAATATCCAAAATGAACAAAAACAGAATTTAGTTCTGAATAATTTGGTCACGAATTTGCAACAAAACGGATTGCGCCCGAATGTCATCCGGAAAAGCTGTCAGAACTTATAGCTTACTTGTTTCTGTAGGCTATAGTGGGGTATCCCATAGGGGGTACAACCCAATTAGGGTTTCCTATTTGTACTCACTTCGTTCATAGTCATTTCATTCTCGTTCTTTGTTTCCACATGGAATCAGAGCAGGTTCCCTCCTAGGGACTGCTTCTAGGGCCCACCGAACCGCGCCCCGAGGCGCGTTTTTTTTTTTAGCGACCCGTCGTGTCGCCCCTAGCGGACCGTTGCGCCGCCCTTCCCCTCGCGGCTCCGCCGCCCTTCCCTAGCGGCCCCGCCGCCCTTCGATCGCGGCCCCGCCGCCCTCTGCTACGCGGCCCCGCCGCCGCCCTTCGATCGCGGCCCCGCCGCCCTCGGCTACGCGGCCCCGCCGCCCTCTGCCTCGCGGCCCCGCCGCCCTCTGCTACGCGGCCCCGCCGCTCTCTGCTACGCGGCCCCGCCGCCCTCTGCTACGCGGCCCCGCCGCCCTTCGATCGCGGCCCCGCCGCCCTTTGCCACGCGGCCCCGCCGCCCTCTACTACGCGGCCCCGCCGCCCTCTGCTACGCGGCCCCGCCGCCCTTCGATCGCGGCCCCGCCGCCCTCTGCTACGCGGCCTCGCCGCCCTCTGCTACGCGGCCCCGCCGCCCCCTGCTACGCGGCCCCGCCGCTCTCTTCGGTCGCGGCCCCGCCGCCCTCTGCTACGCGGCCCCGCCGCCCTCTGCTACGCGGCCCCGCCGCCCTCTGCTACGCGGCCCCGCCGCTCTCTTCGGCCGCGGCCCCGCCGCCACTCTGCTACGCGGCCCCGCCGATCCGCCTAGCAGCAGCCGCCGCCGCCTGAGCCGCCGCCGAGCCGCCGCCGAGCCGTCGCCGAGCCGCCGCCGAGCCGCCGCCGAGCCGCCGCCGAGCCGCCGCCCGAGCCGCCGCCGAGCCGCCAGAGCCGCCGCCGAGCCGCCCGTGACGCCCGAGCCGCCCGCGCCGCCCAGCAGCAGCCGAGCCGCCGCCGAGCCGCCGCCGCCTGAGCCGCCGCCGAGCCGCCGCCGAGCCGCCGCCGAGTCGCCGCCGAGCCGCCGCCCGAGCCGCCGCCGAGCCGCCCGCGCCGCCCGAGCCGCCTGCGGAGCCGTGCTGCTGTTCCTCTGCTGCTGACCTACCCGCCTCTCCCAGCCCGGTGAGATTTTCAGCTGCTGTCATGGCCACCCCCAATGTTCTTACCTTTGACGCTGAGGGGAGGGCCATTGACTTTGCCGTCTGGATTGAAGACCTGCAGCTGTACTTACTGTGTGATGCGATAGATGAGGTCTCTCTCTTTGACTTTGTCTCTGGCGCTGTCCCTGCCCCACCTGCTGATGCTGACTCTGCCGTTCGCTCCAAGTGGGCGACCCGCGATGCTGCTGCACGTCTTGCTGTGCGTCGCCACCTCCCTTCCTCTGAGCGTGCCCACTTTAGTCAGTGCAAGACCGCTCAGGCCTTGTACGACGCTGTAGTTGCACGCTACTCCTCCCCTTCCTCCGCTACCCTTAGCCGCCTCATGCTACCGTTTCTCTTCCCTGACCTCGCTTCCTTTCCCACTGTCGCTGACCTCGTTACCCACCTCCGTGCTAGTGACACCCGCTACCGCGCTGCCCTTCCTGCTGAGTTCCGCGCTGCGAACCCTCCTCCCATGTACATCACTCTCTACTTTCTCGTCACCCGTCTCCCTGAGTCCCTTCGTGTCGTTAGGGACCAGTTTCTCTCTGTCTGTCCCACCACTCTCACTGTCGACCTCCTTGAGGAGTCCCTGCTAGCGGCTGAGAAGAGTATTGTCGCTGTAGGGGCCTCTCGGGGTGACCCTCGCACCCCTATCTTTGAGGGGTGTGGTCCTTCCCCCCTGCTGCCCTCTGTCGCCTCTGCCGCTGCGGCCGACCTCACTGGTTTTGAGTCGGTCGGCGCGGCGTCTGCCCCCGGCGGCAGACGCCGCGCTGGCAAGGGCAAGGGGGGCAAGGGAGCGGGTGGAGCTAGAGGGGGCGGTGGAGGAGGCGGTGGGGGTGGCGGGGGGAGTGGGGGTGGCGGTGGGGGTGGTGGCGGGAGTGGAGGTACTGGTGGCGGCGGTGGAGGCGGAGGTGGCGGCGGAGGTGGTAGCGGAGGAGGCGGTGGGAGCGGTGGGAGCGACGGTCCTGGTGGGGGGGGTGGAGGTGGAGACGGGGGTGGCGGTGGAGGCGGGGGTGGCAGTGGAGGCGGGGGTCGGAGTGGCTCGTCCCAGCGGAGCAGCTCCGGGGGTGGTCAGCGCCAGCAGCAGCAGCAGCAGCAGCCGCAGCAGCAGCCACAGCAGCAGCAGCGCTCTCGCACCGTCCCCGCCCCTCAGCAGCTTCGTGAGTGGTACTCGCAGCGTCAGCGTGGTGGTGCGCTTGGTCCTTGCCCCTACGTTCTCCGCACCGGTGACCGTGCAGGGGAGAGGTGTGGAGGCGCCCACACTGCCCGCCGCTGCTTTGGCCGCCTGACTGACGCCTGGCGTCAGCAGTTTCCGGAGGCAGCTGAGATCCCCCGCTGGGGAGAGCTGTCTAGGGCTGGTGTAGCTATTTATGATCTTGATTTTGATGCTATTCTCTCTGCTATGTATGCTGCGATTGGTAGTGATGAGGATGACTGTTACCGGTGTTTCCCGCCCGACCCGGACATTGGTACTGCCGCGTCAGGTACTAGTGAGGCTGCTGCTCTAGGTGCTAGTGCGTCTGTGCTCTCACGTGCTGGTGAGTCTGCCCTCTCAGGTACTGTGTCGGCTTCGGCCTCTCACACCTTCACCCTTGACTCTGGAGCGTCTCGCTCCTTCTTTCGGGACCGCACCACTCTCACGCCGCTGAGTCGGCCGGTTGCGGTGTCCCTGGCTGACCCCTCTGGGGGGCCTGTCCTGTCTCGCTTCTCCACTGTCCTCCCGTGTCCGGCGGCCCCCTCTGGCACCCTGACTGGTCTTTACCTCCCCTCGTTCTCGACGAACTTGGTGAGTGGTGCTGACCTCCAGGATGCGGGTGTCCACCAGTTCACCCCTGCTCGTCAGCGGGTGACCCACTGCACGGAGGCGGATACAGGTCGCCACCTGGCTACGTTTACACGTCGGCCAGGGTCGAGCCTGTACACTCTGACCACTGCTTCTCCTCCAGGTGCTGAGTCTGGTAGGGTCACTTCGTCTGGTCAGGTGTTTGCTGCAGCGTCCAGGTCTGGTCCTGAGTCTGCCCCCTGCTCGTGCCGTCGTTTGTCTCACGAGACCCTCCTCTGGCACCACCGCCTTGGCCACCCCTCTCTGCTTCGGCTCAGAGGCATGGCCTCGCGAGTCCTTGTGTCTGGTCTTCCCCGGTCTCTCCCTCCCCTTCCTCCGGGCCCTGGCCCCACCTGTGTCCCCTGTGTTGAGGGGCGCCAGCGTGCTGCCCCTCACTCCTCCCAGTTTCCTCCGACAGAGGCCCCGTTGCAGACGCTTCACATGGATGTGTGGGACCCAGCCCGCGTCCGTGGACAGGGTCAGGAGCGCTACTTCCTGCTGGTGGTTGACGACTACTCGCGTTACACCACAGTCTTCCCCTTGCGCAGCAAGGGTGAGGTCACTGCGGTGTTGATCGGCTGGATCCGCGCAGCTCGTCTCCAGCTTCGGAGGAGCTTTGGCTCTGACTTCCCTGTTTTGCGTCTGCACTCGGACAGAGGCAGAGAGTTCTCCTCTGGCCTCCTGAGTGCCTACTGTCGTGCGCGAGGCATCCGTCAGACCTTCACGCTTCCGGACTCACCGCAGCAGAATGGGATTGCTGAGCGCCGCATTGGCATGGTCATGGACGTCGCTCGTACGTCCATGATGCATGCGGCTGCTCCCCATTTTCTGTGGCCGTTTGCGGTCAGGTACGCTGCGCACCAGATCAACCTCCACCCCAGGGTCTCTCGGCCGGAGACCTCCCCAGCCCTGCTGTGGACGGGGAAGGTTGGCGATGCGTCGGCGTTCCGGGTCTGGGGATCTCGGGCGTTTGTTCGCGACCTGTCTTCGGACAAGCTATCCCCTCGTGCTTCTCCCTGCGTCTTCCTGGGGTTCCCCCCCGACGCCCCTGGGTGGCAGTTTTACCACCCCACCTCTCGACGTGTTCTGTCCTCCCAGGACGTCACGTTCGACGAGTCGGTACCCTACTACCGCCTCTTCCCCTACCGCACTCCGTCCCTCCCCCCACCCCCGCTCTTCTTGGTACCAGGTCCCCCCCCGGTAGTCCCCCTCCCCCCTCAGGGTCCTGCCCCTTCAGGTGTGTCCTAGGTAGACGCGGTCGAGCCTGTCGAGGTCACTGGTGACTCTGGTGCTGCTGCGGGAGCTGAGCCTGGGGGTGCGGAGTCTGGGGGTGCTGAGCCTGGAGGTGCCGAGTCTGGGGGTGCTGAGCCTGGGGGTGCTGAGCCTGGGGGTGCTGTGCCTGGGGGTGCTGAGTCTGGAGGTGCCGAGTCTGGGGGTGCTGTGCCTGGGGGTGCTGAGCCTGGGGGTGCTGAGCCTGGGGGTGACGTGCCTGGGGGTGCTGTGTCTAGGGGTGCTGAGCCTGGAGGTGCTGTGCCTGGGGGTGCTTCGTCTCGCCGGGAGCCACTCTCCCCACAGGAGCTGCGTGAGTGGTTTGCCGGGCGCTGGAGGCGTGCTGCTGGTGCTGGTGGTTCTTCGACTGCAGAGGGTACTGCTGCTGCGCGCCCCGCCGGCGCTCGTACTGTGGGTGCTGGAGCTGCTGAGTCTGAGAGTTCTCCTGGAGCTGGTCCTGCTGAGGGTGTTGGCGCTGAGCCTGCCGTTGGCGGCCCGACTGACAGTGCTCCTGGTGCTGCGGCTGGAGGTTCTGGAGCTTCTGGTGGTGCTGCTGAAGGTGCTACTGGAGTGGGTGCTCCTGCCGGGGCTGCTGGTGCTGTTCCTGCTGTTTCTAGCGTCGCCGCGCGGCCCCGACCGTACTTCGTTCCGCTCCTGCAGCAGGTTCTTGTTCTTACACCTCCTCCTCCTCCCTTAGAGGGTCCGCAGCCTGTCCGGTCACAGCCACAGCTACAGCCTGCCTCCCCTTTGCCTGCTCCTTCTCCCTACGCTGGTCCGACTTGAGGTCTTACTGAGCGTCGTGAGCCTGCGTCTCGTCCTGTGTTGCCTGTTCGTACTGAGCGCGCTAGTGGTCGCGGGTCGCGTCAGCGTCCTCCTCCTGTCCCTGGCACGCACCGGATATCACTGCGTCCGTCCACTGCTCCTCTGCGTGCCCCTTTGCCTTCTCCTCCTGCTTCCTCTCTTCCTGCTCTTGCCGACCCGGAGTCGGACGCCCTTCGTGCTGCCAGTCCTACTGTCACGCGTCTCCTGGCTACTGCTGTCACTGACCCCTCCTTCGAGTCGTCTGCTGCGTCTGCCCTTGTCACTGAGCTTGTCGACTTTGCTGCGCGCTGTCGTCTAGACTACGCTGCTCGTCTTGTCACTGAGTCTGAGTCCGCCTGTCCTCCGTCCGTCGGGGGTGAGTGTGCCCTTGGCACGGACGTCCTTGAGGACAGGCAGGAGGAGTTCCAGTGTCTGGCCGCCGCTTCACCTCGTCTCGCGTCTGTACTGCTAGCCCCTGAGGGAGACCCGGATGCACCAGACATCCCGACTCCGCGCTCTTACGCGGAGGCGATAGAGGGTCCCTTCTCCTCTCAGTGGCAGGCAGCTATGGATGCAGAGATGGCTTCCTGGAAATCCACAGGCACCTACGTTGACGCTCTTCCCCCTCCTGGGGCGAACATCGTCAGTGGCATGTGGATTTTCAGGGTGAAGCGGCCGCCGGGTTCTCCGCCTGTCTTCAAGGCGCGTTACGTGGCTCGTGGCTTCAGTCAGCGGCAGGGGGTTGACTACTTTCAGACCTTCTCCCCCACCCCGAAGATGACCACTCTTCGGGTTCTGCTACACGTTGCTGCTCACCGTGACTACGAGCTGCACTCTCTTGACTTCAGCACAGCTTTCTTGCAGGGCAGCCTGCACGAGGAGATCTGGCTGCGTCGCCCACCTGGCTTCACTGGGTCTTTCCCTCCTGGTACCCAGTGGAGTCTCCGGCGTCCAGTCTACGGTCTTCGCCAGGCGCCACGTGAGTGGCACGACACACTGAGGACTACGCTCGCGGCACTTGGGTTTGCTCCTTCCACTGCCGACCCGTCGCTGTTTCTGCGCACCGACACCTCTCTGCCGCCGTTCTACATCCTCGTGTACGTCGACGACTTGGTCTTTGCCACAGCTGACACTGCTGGACTCGCCTACGTGAAGTCCGAGCTGCAGAAGAGACACACGTGCACTGACCTGGGTGAACTGCGCAGCTACCTTGGCTTGCAGATCACCCGGGACAGAGCACGCCGCACCATTACCCTGACTCAGTCACACATGGTGCAGCAGGTCCTTCAGCGCTTTGGCTTCACGTACTCCTCGCCTCAGGCCACTCCTCTGCCTACTCGCCACTCGCTCTCAGCTCTGCCTTCGGATGAGTCCGTAGAGTCGAGTGGCCCGTTTGCAGAGCTTGTTGGCTGCCTCATGTACCTGATGACCTGCACACGACCTGACCTCGCATACCCTCTTAGCATTCTCGCACGCTTTGTTGCTCCTGGGAGACACCGAGCAGAGCACATGGCTGCAGCGAAGAGGGTGTTGCGCTACTTGTGCAGTACGTCGGGCATGGGGCTAGTGCTTGGAGGGCGCAGTCCAGTGGTCCTCACTGGGCACGCAGACGCTTCTTGGGCTGACGACCAGGCTACGCAGCGGTCGTCACAGGGTTACACCTTCAGCCTTGGTTCCGGCTCTGTTTCGTGGCGGGCTACCCGCTCGTCTTCTGTTCTCGGCTCCAGTTGTGAGGCTGAGATCTACGCTGGGGCTATGGCTGCACAGGAGTTACGCTGGCTCACCTACCTACTGACCGGCCTTGGAGAGCAGCCTCGTTCTCCTCCAGTCCTGTACGTAGACAACAAGGCCATGCTGGCCTTGTGTCGAGAGCAGCGACTGGAGCACAGAACGAAGCACATTGCTCTTCGTTACTTTCTTGCTCGTGAGCTACAGCAGCGTGGACAGCTGCGACTTGCGTACGTGGCCTCTGAGGCCAACACTGCTGATGTCTTCACCAAGGCACTTGCGCCTTGTGATCATCAGCGTTGCTGCACGCAGTTGGGTCTTGTGCCTGTCTTGCCTCACTTGCTCTCCTCTTGACCTTGCTTGTACTTTCGCATATATATACTCTTGTTCTTGTATATCTCTATATATGATCTTGCATGTGAACTGGCCTTGTGGCCTTTGAACTTGTGCTCGGAATGCGTGGTGACTTTGTGATCCACCCTGAGCTTTGCTTTGCTTTGCTTGACTGGTCATGTGACCCCTTGTTCTCCCCCACTTTGCCTATGGGGGTGTGTCAGAACTTATAGCTTACTTGTTTCTGTAGGCTATAGTGGGGTATCCCATAGGGGGTACAACCCAATTAGGGTTTCCTATTTGTACTCACTTCGTTCATAGTCATTTCATTCTCGTTCTTTGTTTCCACAAAAGCTCGCGTGCCAAATTGGAACTTGAACCGAGCCAAACCTTGTCGCAAGATGTGTCTCGGAGCTCCTATCAAATGACTCCAACCGTTGGTCCAAATTGGCTCCGGATTGTTTTACGCGAAGACAATCGAAATCAAAATTCGTCCAAACTTGGCATAGGGTTTTTGTGATGATCCTGCTGAAAAATAAGTTCTACGTGAAGCTGTCGAAGAGCGACTTCGCCCTGAAGAAGGTGCAGTTTCTCGGACACATGGTGAGTGCCGAGGGCGTACACGTGGACCCGCGGAAGATTGAAGTCGTCAAGAAATGGAAAGTACCGGAGAACGTGAAGGATTTGCAGCAGTTCCTAGGCTTCGCTAACTACTACAACATGTTCGTACCGTAGTATGCTAAGATTGCAGCGCCACTGACCGACCTACTGAAAAAGGATACGCCCTAAAAATGGGATACTCCTCATCAACAAGCCATGGAGCAGCTAAAGACAGCACTGACTACAGCGCCAGTACTCATCTTACCGGATCCAGACAAGGACTACGTGGTGGAAGCAGACGCTAGTGACCAAGCAGTCAGAGCAGTACTGATGCAGGATCACGGACGCGGTTTGCAGCCCATCGTCTACCTCACTAAGAAGCTACACGGAGCAGAACTGAACTACCCCATCCATGACAAGGAAGCCTTAGCGATAGTCATAGCCTTCAAGGCGTGGAGGTGTTACCTAGAGGGAGCCAAAACTACAGTCTATACTGACCACTGTAGTCTCAAATATCTGAAGTCGCAGCCGACACTCTCACGACGACAAGTGCAGTGGGTGGACTTCCTGGAAACTCACTTCCACTACGACATCGTCTACAAGCCCGGGCTACAGAACAAGGCAGACGCGTTGAGCCGCCCCGGACATGTAGCAGGCATCCAGCTCGACGGAATGAACCCTCTGCTCAAGGGTGTATTCCAACATGGATACTACGTGGACGCAGAGATCGCTACCGCACAGACTAAGAAGCTGTTACAGTGGGAGAAAGACTTAGCTGTAAGGAAGGGTTCAGGAAAGATTTGGGTACCGAATTACGCCCCACTGCAGCAGATCCTATTGGAGGAGTTTCACGGCGTACCTTACGCGGGACATTTTGGAAGCAACAAGACGTTAGCAAAGATAGCGAAGTATTACTACTGGCTCGGGATGGCAGCAGACGTGCAGCAGTTCGTCACCTCTTGCGACATGTGCCAGCGGATGAAGAGCAGCAAGCAGAAAAAAGCAGGGTTACTTCAGCCTCTACCCGTACCGGAGCAGCCATGGCAGGTCGTTAGCCTCGACTTTATCAAAGGACTTCCTTCGACCTCACGGGGGCACGATTCCATCCTCGTAGTGATCGATAAGTTCTCCAAAATGGGTCACTTCATTCCGACCAACACCACGACTACAGCTGAAGCAACTGCTCGCCTCTTCTTTGACCGCATCATCACCATCCACGACATCCCCGCTACACTCATCTCAGACAGAGACCCAAAATTCACCAGTAAGTTATGGAAGGAGCTCATGGGACTGTTGGGGACAAAGCTTGCAATGTCTTCAGCATACCACCCCCAGACTGATGGACAGACAGAGCGACTCAATCAGGTGGTTGAACAGTTACTGCGCAAAGCTTGCAAAGACGACGTCAGCCACTGGGACACACAGTTACCGACCCTAGAGTTCGCTTACAACAACGCATCACATGCGGCCACAGGGAAACTCCTTTCTTCCTGTGTTACGGACGGGAACCACTCACACCACAGCAGCCAACCACACCGGCACACGTCCAAGCCGCACATGTCTTCGTCACCACCATGAAGCAGCTATGGGAGAAGACTCAGCGACGACTCACCACGATGCACACCTCCCAGAAGCAGTATGCCGATCGGCAGCGACGTGATCTCTCAGTAGCAGTCGGAGATCAGGTGCTTCTTGACACGCGCAACTTGAACCTATTTCACCTTCCATCCAAACTCCGGCCTCGCTTTTGTGGTCCTTTTCTCGTTGAGGCACAGGTGACACCAGTTACATTCCGCTTGCGCTTACCAGATACATGGAAGCTTCACAACGCTTTCCATGTCTAGCTAGTGAAACCCTACAAGGACCCCAACCAATAGTTCCAGGGACGGCAGCTACCGCCACCACCACCTGTTCTCATCGAGGATGAACCTGAGTATGAAGTGGAACGCGTCCTCTCTCATCGGCGCCGCGGCGGCAAGACCCTCGAGTTCCTGATACGCTGGAAGGGATATAACCCCATTGAGGACAGCTGGGTTGCAGAAGCTGATATGGGCAACGCACGCCGTGCTCTCAAGGACTATCTTGTCAAGCAGGATGTATCTCACGCCACCCAGCATTGAGGGGGGGACGTGTGAGATTACGACGGCTTATGCCAGCTATGCTTGCTTGCCTTTACTTTATTATGCTATTTCTAGCATAGGATAATTATATGCATGCATGAATTGCTTGATTTCCTAGGCTAGGTGCTTTCCTATATTTTATTATAGTTATAGCACCGAGCTAGGTTGCGTGCACCGAATTCTGGCTTTTCGGTTGCCACCGAATTGCCTTCTACCGAATTCGGGATGGATCTGTTCGGGACGCTTCGCGACCTGCGGAACCTTCGCGTAACACCTGGTTAGGGGGCCTTGTGTCGAGCCTATATATAGCCTCGTGTTGTACCTAGGTGATCATTCAATCCAAACTCTCCTTTTTGGAGCTCGATCCTAGATCCTCACACTTGGTAATTAGAGCCTGTTTGCAAGCGAAGTTTTTCGACCGCTAAAACCTAGCTTTTAAAACCGCGGGGGCGACGACGGAAAGCGCCGATTTCGGGTACGTAAACCAGTTCCGCGCTATTTTCTAACGTCCCCCTCGAGCCGGTTTTCGAACACTCCTCAGGTCAAGTGGCGAAAAAGTTGGAATTTCGACCGTCGGATCGATTCGAATGCGGCTGTGCGAGGCGGCGGCCTACATGTGGGCGGCGGCCTACGTGCGGGTTGTGGCCTACGCACGGGTGGCGGCCTACGAGCGCGAGGCGGCAGCCTATATGCAGGGCTACGGCGCGCAGGACGGCCAGCAGGGCCGGTTGGCGGGCAGCTCGCGGGCGGCGCTGGCTGCGCGGGCTGCTAGCAGACCGCGCGCGGGCGACGAGCGGGCTGCGCACGGGTGACTAGGGGGCTGCTAACGAACGGCGCGCGGGCAGTACGAGTGACGGGGCGCGCGAGGGCGCACTAGCAGAGAGAGGCGCACGAGGGCGCGAGTAAGGAAGGGCGCACGATGGCGCTTCTAGCGGAACGATGGGCCCATAGTAGTAAGCGGTCCTAGGTGGCTATACTAGGCTCGTAATACCATGTCAAAATCAACAAGAGTGAATGCACTAGGAAAGGGGTGGGTACATGTAGGAAAAACTAAAACTGTTGTACCCCATAGGAACTACCCCACTACAGCCTAAATAGACTATGGCATATACGTTTGACACCTGTACCTAGTCCTAAATGCCGTCTTGGCGCAGTCCGATGGTTCAACTCTAATCTGATGGTAACCTCCCCGTGAATCTATTTAAAAAAAAAAAAAAAAAAAAAAAAAAAAAAAAAAAAAAAAAAAAAAAAAAAAACCGTGCTGTTCGCAGTTGGTCTATCAGTTCGTCGGCACGAAGAATGGGGTATCGCGACTTGACTGTTACCCTGTTCAGTGCTCTGTAATCGATGCACATGCGAAACCCTCCGTCTTTTTTCGGTGTGAACAGTATCGGTGCGGCGAACGATGACGAACTTGGTCGGATGATTTTTTTCTCTAACAGGTAATTCAACTGCTTCCTCCGTTCGTCGAGCTCGGGTTGTGTCAGTCTGAACTGTCGCTGTACGGTTGGTTGTGCCCCCGGTTCTAATTCTATTCGGTAGTCGTGTGCTTGCTGAGGTGGCAGTCCCTCCGGAAAATCATCGGGAAAAATCCCCGAGTACCGAATCAACAGTTCCTGCAGTTCGAGCGGTACCACTGCCAGCAGTTTCTTGAAATCGCTCGGCTACTCTACGTCCTCTACCATTGCAATGTCTACTGCGTACACGTCACCTCTAGCAGCGACAGCCTGTGAAGAAATGAGGAATGAATGAACTAGCAAGCAGGTGGGTACAAGTAGGAAAACCTAAAAGTGTGAAAAACTGAAACGAGAATGAAGAAGAGAAGGGGGTTCACTAGAAAGCAGCAGGATACATATAGGAAACCCTAAGGGGTTGTACTCGCTTTAGAGTACCCCACTGCAGGCTAGAGAACAATAACATTCTGACACACCCCCATAGCCAAAGTGGGGTGTAATCAGCACAATGAGCAAGCAGGCATAGAGCAGGAGTTCACAATAGGTAAGTAAGGCTAGAGCTAATCACAGAGGGCAAGTGAGGAGGAGGAGAGACTGTGGGGGAGAGAAGATAGGAGGCGACTGCTGACGCTGCAGACACAAAGACGAGCTGCTGGCTCAGTGGCTACCGAAGCAAAGGCCCGGACTACAGGAGTAACTGGCTCCGCGGCTAAAAGTAGCGGCAGACGAGCAACTGACCCACAGGCGACTAGCGACTACCGGAGATTGTAGCCTCCGGACTGCTAGTGCTATTGACGACAAGACTGCTGCCTCCACGCAACCTCCCCCAGCTGCCCAACGCCCCTCT